GCTCAACCCTGCTTAGCTTCAGTGGGCAACCAGTCTTGGGCTGCAGGGTGATATGGCTGGGTATTATTATTAAAGTTATTTAATAAGCTTTCTCAGATCACCTGTGTTTCCTATATCTCTGTCAGCAGCTCCCATTAGAGGTTTTTTTTTCCTGATGCTCCTGAAATCACAGTACAATTTTTATCAATATTTGTCTACAATGAGATAAAAACGTGTTTGGAATAGTGTCAGACCATTTTAGTTCATGTAAGTGGATTAACAGTACAGTGCATACTTTTAGGTTAAATTAATTAGCTTATTTCAATTCATCCATTTACAAATTGCCAGCAAAACATTTACAAAGCTATCAAAACCACTCATCTACACATAATATGTGATTAAAATCCTAAACTTTCATAAATAAGAGCTCAAATCTATAGCTAGCTTACCTCTTATAGTTAGCCTCTATTAGCTCACGGTTGTGACCATTTCTGTAAAGTAAATATTCAACAGAAGCGTGTCAGTTACATGTAAGAAAGTGTCAGGAACAGTTGTAAATATTATTTGTGTAATTTTAGGGACTAAACTTACCTGAAAGCAGTAAAAACAACAATGAGAGACGGAGTTTTGTCAGCTGAGTTGCCGCCCCGTTTCCATGGTAACTCTATAGGATCAGATTCCTGCCAAATGTATAGCAGTCATGGATAAAAAAAATAACAAGTGTGAAACCAAAATGTAAAAACGCAAGTAAAATTATATTGCACAAAATTTAAAGTTTTCAGAAGAGCAAACATTGGTCACGGATAAAAAAATAAGTGTAAATCAAAAATTGTATAACGCATTTAAAAAAATAATAAGCACGAATCAAAACTTTAAACACATTTAAAATCATATTGTACAAAACTGAAATATTAATGCAAAATTATCCGAATTGCACACAAAATCATGTTTTCCTTGGTTATATTTCTCCGTTTTTTATGCTCTCAGACATTTTCTGCACATATTTTAAATGTTTGTATGCTTATGCTGTTTTTCCCTTCGCTCTTTATTCCACGTTCTGCACTTCTTCCAAATGTTGCGGTTAGAGTTTCATGTAAATCAGGGCGAGTTTAAGCATCATCACTGGTCCACTAGTTCTAGATTGACAGCTCCTCCTCTAGCCAGTCAGTCGAAGAGGGGCAGTGACGTCACTCCAACACGCCTCATTACTGCCATGCTCAGTGTTCTGTTTACTTGTACAGGTGAAAGTGGACAACTGTCAGCTGGGAAACATCTTTCCATACAGGACACCGTTATATGTGTCTGTCTGTCACTGCTGTACGCCTACCTGGCGATCCGTTAACGTTAAATGAGCCGTCCCAGCGACCTGTCGCGGTTATATTCACCTGTATTTATTAGCCTCAGGTCACATCGCGAAAGGGAGCAGCCACTATAAGCACCGGCCTCGCGAAGTCACTGATGTGCCTGGCTCGCCTTGACCTGACTGATTAGAAAGTCTTGTTATGGTTATTACTGTTAGGAGAGGATAATATGAGTAAGAGCAGGGGTTTTCAAACTGGGGTCCTTGTCTTGACCCAAAGCCAGGGGGTCCCGCAAAATAATTTGCTATACTGTATTTTCCGGACTACACGTTGCATTTTTTATCTTCTGAACTTGCTATGATTTATATTCTGAAGTGACTTATATAATGCATTTAATGTCAAATAAGCAAAACGTAAACAGGTAAAGCGGGAACTTCAAGGTTTCTATAAATATATTTCTCATTCTGTGTAACAAGTATAGTGTTAGACAGTATCGCTGAGTTCTTCTTCATTTCAGGAAGAGGTTCACAGAGACGGCAAGTGCATTTTGTATGTTTTCTTTATTTTACAAAAGTACAACATTTCACTGTTATTTTGAAGGTACACAAATAAAAAAAATAGATCGTTTTGAATGATGTCTTGCTCTATCTATCACATCTGTCCACTGATGTGAGGAACCCAAGTATTCGCGCCGGTACCTCCCGCACGCACACAACATAATCAGTTCTAGCATTGCAATCTTTACATCGCAGCCTCTTCATCATCAAAGTAAATGAGACAACTAAACATACAAAAGGTATTGGTGACTCAATTTAGCTTGTCTTTTGTATAATATGTAGGTTTTGCCGGTCAGCGTGAGCATCGCCATGCCGTGGTGTTTTCCAAACAATTTTTTTGCATATGTGAAGGATGTTGTTTGTAAAGAATGCCACTATAATTTATTTTATGACATACAGTTAAGCAAAACGGTTGGTCGACGTGATGTTGCCAATATATTTTGTACAATATATTTACCTTGTACTTCCCTGGTAAATACATGGCAAATATCTTGTACCCACACTGTAAAATATCTTGTACCTACACTGTAAAAGATGATGCACTGTTGATGATGCACTGTTAACTTAGTGAAATTATGTTCATCTTACTTAGGCCTATTTGTTTCTGCTCTGTTGACATTACTCAGTTGACATTACTCAGTTGTGTTCAATGAAAAGTTCGAACATGTGGCTCCTTTGTGCATGCATGTGTTATAGACAGAGGTGCACATTTTTCAGCCTGGTTCAGCTTTGGTTTGGTCCTCACACTACACATAGTGTGACCCATTAAATAAATAAATAAATAAATATATAATATATATATATATATAACTATAAATAATAAATAAATAATAGTGATAATATTATTGCACTTTATTTAGTTAGTTTTTTTTTAAAGAAAAATAATAAACAAAATAATAAAGTGTGATAATACTATTATAAATAATTTTAAATGTTTTAAAATAAAAAGGGAGTATTAAATACAAATACAATTATTATATAGTAAACTTAGAAATAAAATGCTAATATTTACTTCTTTTTTTTAAATATGAATTTCTATTATTTTCAAACTTAAAATCAGCAAGCTTTTATTTTGGCGGTTCCGACAGACGTGTGCGAGCACGAGGCGCGCCAGAGGGTGGGGCGTCGACCGGAAGGAGATGTCGATTCCCAAGGTGGTTGGCAACAGCTGGACTGTGAATGGACAGGAGAGTGTGGAGGGAAGTGACGGATCAGGAAATGAACTAGGAGAGATGGAAGTAGGTGGCGGGATGTATGAAAAATGGGAAACGGCTAGGAATAATAAACGGAAAAAGAAAAGGAAAAATAAAACAGATGAAAGTGACTCAGACAGGGGATCGACTGTGGAGGAGAAGCGGAGGGAGGAGTATGTGGTTTTTGCAAAACTTGTGGACGAAGGGGACTCTTGTTATTGTTAAAATCTATTTATTTTATTTTGTAAATTTTTATTTAAAAAATTTTTTTAGTTATTTATTTTATTAATAATAATACGAATAAAGGTATTTTTATTTATTTATTTTTTATTTTTATTTTTTTTTCCCCTCCTGGCATTATGTCAATCCCATAAGCACGTATTCTGTTCCACACTCCAGTCCAGTCGGTGGCGGTAATGCACCTACAAGTTGGTTTGCCAACCGCCAATAAACACCAAAGAAGAAGAAGAAGTGTGCGAGCACGAGCACTTGTGCCACCGTGGGCATTTTCAAAAGATTTTTGCGTGCTTTTTGCTGATGGTTTGTTAAGGTAACAAAAACAATTGTTTTCGGCTGTAAGTTATTTACTTCCACAGTCTATAAATATGTAAGCATAACACTGTAATGGTAATGTTTAAAGTGTTGTCAGGTGGCAATTGAAGCAAAATAAACCCTTTGAAATTAGCCGCGAAATTAACTTGTCTCATTCTGAAGGGACATAAAACATGATGGCGCAAGCAACCACGAAGAAGGAAGATATTCATTCTGTATATTACGAAACACTGAAGATAATACCACCGCAATAGATTCTGTATGTAATTGATTTTATTCTACATTGAGGACACTTTATAAAACCTACAGAGGATGGTACCCAGCGGCCTTCACTAACATGACGCAGTTTGAAATTCTGACCGTAAACGGTCATCTGACAGACGGACGGATGGGTGCTAAGCCAAAGGTAAGCATTATAAATGTACTTTTATTCGTCTTTTTTCCATCCCATATGGAAAGGTAATATATTCACATATATGTGAAGCACTGTTAAATATATTGAAATATATTTTGAAAATGCATAGAACATAATGCTCATGTTGCGTGTGTGTGTTTACATAGGCTATTTGTGAAATTATATTCATGCCTCATATGATGTATTTATAATCAATGTGTTTTTGCAATGCAGCAATGCATTTTGTTTCAACACTACATTTACCATATTTTAAAGCTATAAAAGAACCATCATGACAGAAATTCACGCATTTATAAACTGTAAGAAGTAAAAAGCTACAATTTGAGACCAGAAACGCATAACATAACTAAGAGTAAATAATAATGATAATAATAATAATAACTATGCATCCGTTTGTAAGGAAGCTTGTAAATTAACAAATTTCTCTATGCTGTCACGTCACATGACAAAAGAACGAACGATTCGAAAGACTCGAGAGATGAACTAATCACGGGTTGACCGGGGACTCTGTACCACCGGTACTTAAAAAATCCTGGTACCGTAACGTTTTCATTTTTTTAGTACCGACTTGGTACCGAAGTACCGGGTCTTTTGACAACACTACATGGGACGATAACCGGTTTCAAGGTATACCGCGGTTTGAACAAGTTTCAAAACCACTAAAATTTTCCGTTATACCGTTCCTGCGGTATGCACAGTTTTTTGCACAGGTCGTACATAAACTATATATCTGTGTCATCTTCATTTCTCCCTCTTTCACCCCCGATCAAGACAGAGACCCACCCGCCGTTTGTTTCAGTGTTGAAATAAATACTATTTGGCTTGCTACCGAGGCAGATAACATGGCTAATTAACTAGCTAACGTCAACTAGTACTACGTTTCTGCGATTTTAGTACAATAATTAAATTTAGCTGGTATCACGTCTATACTTTTAAACCTCCTGCCATTGTTTACCGTTCAAAATCACGACATTTAAAAACAAAAAACAAACTGCTGGCTGTCAGGTGTCTTTGCCACTGTTTGAGTGTTGTATGGAGAAAGACCGTGTGTGAGTGTGTGACACACTCGTGCTCTCTCTTTCCTTATGTCTATGTGCATAAATCCTCGTACCTCACCGCTCCAAACTTAATCCAGGAAAGGGGAACATTCCTGCATCATAATTTGGACTGAAAGAGGAATGTGTAGAAAGTGAGCATGTCTCCAAAAACCTTGTTGAGCTGCAGGTTTAATGACTGCATTTTTTATTGATTTATTTTTTTACAGAAATTATGTTTTGTTTTATGTGTTTGATTATTGAGCTGCAGCTTTAGGCTCACTTAAGTGACTG